GTGAATCTTTGTCGGTGTAATTGCCCATAGAAAACAACGAAATTTAACAAAAGTTTTTTGTTCATAACTTTTAAATGGTTAATAATATTATCTCCCCTCCTCCGGATTGTTATTAGGGCGGCCGAAACGCGTCGTTTGGTACCCCTCCCGACTTTTCCGCACCTATTTTAGGGGTTGTTACCCCACCCTAGAGAATTACCCAAATTAAATTAAATATATAAAGAAGATTCCACTGATTTACACAATCGACAATAAATTAACTTTTTGTGGCCACATAAATATTAAAAATTAAATTAATGGATATTAACATAAAATTCTTGCCAAAGAAAAATCTTTGAAATCTTTGAAGAAATGTTCCCAAATATTCAAAATAAACCATGGTTTCATTGCAATTCCAGTATATATTAAACAAAATTAATGGAATTCAAACAAATCCTTTATTCAAAGTGACTATATGAAGAATTATACAAATAGTAAAGATGCAATTGATTTAATGCATACAAATTAATCTTTTAAAAGCTATTATATTTGTTGCATTTAAAGATTACATGTTTAATATCTTAAATTGAATTACATTTGGTTTTTTTAATTTAAATTTTTTAGTAATGTTTTCTACTTTTCCTCCCAACAGTCTTGCTAATCATTATATTGGTTACATTTAAAAGTTATATCTTCAATATCGCAATGTTAATTTTTTGTAATGTTGTGTACTTTTTTCTGCAATCAGTCCCAATGAGCACAAGAAAATATCTTTATTAATATTTCCACTTTCGCTTTTATGGAGTGGTATACTTACTTGTAAATATGCAAAGGCTGCACTTGACCAACCCAAACGCTGCAGTGGTAAAAATACATGCATCAGCAAACGTGGACGGACAACCAAGTGATCCTGACCTTCACAAGAGAATATATTTATTAATATTTGTATTATCTGCACCAGCCATACGTGGACGGACACACAGGGATCCTAACATGCAAAACTTACTTGCAACGGCTGCACTTGTTGTAAAACGCTACTTTTTGAATACAAATTATAAATAACTCCGATACCCTGCAAACAAATATGTAAATTATTGTTGTAATTCAAAATATTTCCATTATTTTTGATTTTTTTGCCATACTTACTTGAATTTGCACAATAAGAAAATGAATTTCCACGAAACAATCGATGAAAATATCGGCTGTGTTGCCTGTTGAACTTTTTATACGTAGACAATATTTTTCCTTGTAT